ATCCATAATGACAAATCTGCTCTCGACACAGGATCATAACAACAATACCCCTTTTGGTTCTGAGCATACCCAAGGAAAACACATTTCTTGGCCTTCAAATCCAATTTCTTGCGGTGGGGGCCAAGAATGTGAACAAAGGCAACACAACCAAAAGCCCTCAGAGGTATGTGAAACATCTCCCCATTTGGTAAAAAAAAAAAAAAGACTGAATGGCACCTTAAATCCCAAAGTTCGTGAAGGAACACAGTTAAATCAAGTGTACGGCTGTAAGAACTGCATCTCCCTAGAAATTGACAAAAATTGAATCACACACCATAAAACTTCTTGCTACTTCCACAATGTGTCTATTTTTTCTCTCTACTACATTTTGTTGCGGTGTATATGCACAACTGCTCTGATGAATTATACCATGCTCCAAAAAATGTGGTCAAGTCCTCAGAATATTCTCTGGCATTATCTGATCTGAAGGCCTTAGTTCTCACTCTAAATCGTGTGAGAACCATTTGGTGGAACTGTCGTACCAAGTCAAGAACCTCATCACGAGACCTCATTAAATATGTCTAAGAATATCGTGTATAATCATCAACAAACAAGAGAAAATAACGATAGCCACCCATGGAAGGAATATGATATGGTCCACATAAATCAGTGTGAACAACATTAAAAGCAAAAGTACTTATTTTATTACTTGGTTTAAAAGGATGCCTACAATGTTTTCCCAACTGACAACTCTCACACTCTAAGGTAGATAACTAGACAGACTTGAATAATTTTGGAAAAAGAAAATTTAATGAACTAAAAGATAGATGCCCCAACCGATTATGCCAGAGCATAATTAGAGGTGTAAAGTGGGTCGTGCGGCCCTCCCCGGTGAAAAATTTGGGGATCTGCTCGGCACGACCCACGACCCGGGCTGGCTGTGGGCCAAGCCGTGTATCGGGCCAAAGCTATTTATTTTAAAAAAATGACAAAAAACTTAAAATTGTAATTTTATATGAGTTGTGTATAAAATTGCTTATATATGCAATAATTAAATAAATTAGTATAATAAAATTAAAAAATATCTTTATTTTATTAATATATTATATACTATATATTATTATATAATTATAATTTATATAATTTATATAACTATATATAAATATATATATAATATAAAATATATATATATGGGTCGGGCTGCGGGCTGGGTTGTGCCGACCCGTGGACCTAAAATCCCAGGCCCAACATGGCCCACATTGTCGTGCCAGGCTATGCCGTGCCACAAGTGGCACGGCCTGATTTACACCTCTAAGCGTAATCTAACTCACCGACTTTGACCCACTACAACTGTTGCTGTTAACATGGTGGCTCTGATGTCTCGGAAGACTCCATTCACCTCACAACCACTCCCAATCATCTTCTTTCACTACAGATCCTGCAAAACACAATTACTAGGAAGGAAAGTCGCTAAACAATTCAATTTTTTTATCAAAGAACTAACAGAAATAGGTTGGTATGAAGTCTAGGGATATGTAAGATAGAAGATAAAGTAATGTCATTGGTCATTCTAATTGTCCCCTTTCCAACAATGGGAATATGTGAACCATCTGTTGTAGAGACTTTGTCTCTAACAGAGCACAACTAATAAGAACTGAAAAGGGTAGGATCATTAGTCATGTGCTCAAATGCTCCTGAGTCTATAATCCAGGGAGGTCCCTCCTTACCTGAAGTGGATGCAAGATTTGCAGTTGCATATGAACTACTTGTATGAGCAAAAGAAGTGGTGTAGTTGGCTCCTGCACTCTGTTGTCCATCTAAAAGGTTAGAACTAGTTGTATCCTTTTTACTCTTAAGTTGTCCAAACCTCTCCAATTCTGATCTTACTGTTGTTGCTACAATGGATTCTCAATCAGTTTGGGAAAGAGGGGCCGGAGAGTCTCCTATAGTGGCCACATTTGCATTTCCCTTGTTGTTCTTGATCCGGGTTGGCATAAGATGTGGATGGAGCTTCCAACATGTCTCTTTGGTATGCTTAGGCTTCTTATGATAATCACACACCAAGTCCTTATCCTCCCTCTTAGTCTCATTGCTCCCTCTATCTCCATTCGGTTTAGGTTTAATTGTACTAACCATAGCCGATTGGTCAATCCCAAGCTGTCTTAGTATGACGTTCCTCCTGCTCTCCTCTCCAGAAACAAAGGCATAGGCTTGAGAGTGTCACACTCTCCCTAAAAAGAATATGCTGCCTAGCAATGTCAAATTCAGGGTTCAGCCCTGCCAAGAATTCAAAAACCCTATTTTTCTCTACCAGTTTCTGATAGGTTATCATTTACACTTTTCCACACCACGGTCTCTAAGTGATCTATCTCAAGCCGAAGGGTTTTCAGCATGGAGAAATACATGGCAAGGGGTTTATCTCCTTGTTTCACATTAATCACCTGATTCCTTAATTGATAGGCTCTGGCTACATTCTACTTCTGAGAATAGGTTTCAGTCACACCATTCCAAATCTCCTTTGCAGTCATAGAAAATTTTTGCCAAGACATCACCATGTAATTCTCTTGTACCCACCGAGAGGAATCTATATTAGGTTTCCTTTCCTCCCCAGTGATGTACCCTAACTTTCCGCGGGCACCAATGGCCATTTTGGCTGATTGTGCCCATTCTAAATAGTTTGTACCATCCAGTTTTATTGTAGTAATGATTCCAGACCCAAAAATATCACTACCACCCCCAACGCCCAGTCCCATGGTACCATTGGATTTCAGCTCGTACTCCAACTCTCCATCTTACTTCAAACAGTTCAACAGTAAGAAATAAAAAAGGTTGAGAGCTTCCAAGAACAATTGAAACTCACACAGGAACAAACTCTTCCGGAAGAAGAAAACCCTATCCAGAGAGAAATCTCTGTCCTCTCAGCGTCTCCCAACAAAGAGAAGAGTGAATTGGCCACTCCAAGAGGTCCAAAAAGCTCCAAAAACCTAACCGCCCCTACAGAAAATCAAAAGAAATCCAATGATACCTGAGCGCCCAAGATCTAGTCACCTTTCTGATGACTAGATCCCACCAAAAAATCCAAGAACTGGGCAAATCTGTAGCAGATCGATCAGCTCTTTATTACTTCATGCAGTCGGCCAATCTAGGGCTGCATGAAAAAGCTTCATGAACCCTAGCTGAAGCTCTAATACCGAGTAGAAATCTGCTGAATTCAAAAATATGAAAGAAAAAGAAAAGTGTAGTTTCTTGAAGAAAGAAGGAAGAGAGAAGAAGAAGATGAAGAGATCTTTGAAAAGAAAGAGAGCTATCTTCTGGCCGCCCCCTTCAGTTAATATTTATATTAGAATTATAAGAGAAGTACAAAGACTACTATGCCCTTATAGGGCGGCAAAACATTAAAAGACACATAAATGACTCAAATAAAAAATAAAATTTGGACTCACATAACTGCTGTGGTCACTACTTCCTATCTAACAATTAACATAAAACAGCAACTCTTAAAATAACACAAAAACTGACTAATCTTCAACATACTTTCAAAGTGGCACATTGGTTAAAGACTTCGGATTTGTTCAAGGACTTCTCCTTTGATGATATTATAAGGAATTGATTTGCAGTGGCAAATTGTTCATCCTCAAGGTCTGTGATTCAGGAAAATTGGGTTCCTCTGGTAAATCAAAGATTTAAACTAAATTTTAATGGATTTTTTCCTAGCAACATGGGTCCTTTGGGCATAGGTGGTGTAATAAGAGATGGAAAGGGAAGAATTGTGGCTTTGTTTTCTGGCCCAGTAGGAGTGGGTGACTCCCCAAGGGCTGGAGATTGGTAAAAACAATTGCATCTTCAACAAATTAAAGTGGAAGGGGACTCAAATTTGGTGATAGGGTGGCTGCAAACAGGTATTATGGGGGCATGGACTCACATGGGTTAGAAGGCCAGCAAATGGTTTGGATGGCTCTCTAGCTAAACAGGGGAGAATTCTTCTGGGCTGAGTTGTAATAGGAAACTTGTTGGGGGTGGAATCCCTAGTATAAGGGATTGGACCTTCATTTTCTTTGAAGCTTAATCCAAATTTAATGAAAGTTGCTGTTTCCTATCAAAAAAAGCAGAATTTTTTTTTTGGGAAAAAAGAAAAGCAGAAATAGTGAAGGCAAGACAACAAAGGAACATTCAAGAGAAACAATGTGTGAAACAAACATCCATGTACAAATGCAATAGAAAAACTACCTTTCTTTAAAGAGTAGGTGCCGCCGTGCCAGAAACAACTTCCTTTCCTTGCCCCCTTGTATCTATCTAGCTGATGGATCTACTGAAAAGTTAGCTGACCTAGAAGTTTATTCAAACCATGGTTACCTGGTTCATTTGGTTAGAATTTGGGTATGCAATTTGTAATTCATTACTCTTAAATAAACCTGTTACATTTGGGGTAGGTATCTAAAATTCATCTTTTGGTTCACCTAGGCTTATCTTCCCCAAATCACCTAGGTTCACCTATATCACCAAGTTGGTAAGAATAGATTAAGGTATTATCATAGGTATACTTTGTAATACCATAGCATTAAGGTGGTATATAAAGGAGAGGACTCATAATAAGTCTCTAATTCTTAACACTAGTATGTTAGGCTTTTTTGGTTTTGCAATAACCAATTTAGTAGTCATCCATTTGATTTGTTAACTTGGGTATTTAAAACTTTACAGGTGATACAGTTCATTGGAAATGGGATTACCTAACATCAATCTGCAGTTATCCTCCACCTTTTATCTTTCAACTCCCCAATAGATTATGAGTCTAAGCCCCTCTAGTTAAGTTAGGATTTCTGCTGTTACCATCTTTCGTAGGAAGATGACTATGCATTTACAAAATTTAGGAACTTGTACCCCGAGGATTTCACCTTTTTGAATAAACATGATGGCTTCACATCTCATGGAAAAGATAATAAAACTGAGATGGGTAGAGTGATGTTTCATTGGTTTTTTTTTTTTTTTTTGCTTAAATTTACACTTTTTTTTCTCTTGTCTAGAGTCATGACTAGCAAAGCTGAAGGTGCTTCCAAGGAACCTATAAATGAGCAGGCAGTGGCAAACATGTATGCCACCATGAGATCTGAAATCAACCAACTTTACTCAAAAATTACAGAACTGGAGATGGAAGTGAGTGAGCATTCTCTGGTGATTGGAGCCATACAGCCACTTGATCCATCTAGACGATGCTATAGGATGATTGGTGGTGTGCTTGTGGAAAGAACAATCAAAGATGTTCTGCCAGCGGTACAGCGCAACAAGGAGGGTCTTGAGGAGGTGATTTCCCGGATGAACGAGGCCTTGGAAAAGAAGAAAAAGGAAATTGCCGAATTTGAGGCAAAATACAAAATTAGGATAAGAAAACCTGACAATGAGGTGAAGGATGATGATAATCGTAAGGAAGGTTCTTCTCAAGGAGTACTTGTGGGTCCTGCAAGCACAAAGAATGAATAAGAGCAGATATGCAGACCTTTTGTTTATTTATGGTTAATTGAATTTTGTTCTATGCAATTTTCCCTTGATATGATTGTGGTATTAAAGGTGTTCAAGAAATACTGTCGTAATGATTAGGGTTTAACCAGTGGATCATGAATTTGAGAGACTGCATTTCATATTTTATAATGCTGAAAACATGTTGGGCTAGCAGTTTCACATCAATGCCTCCCCTTTAATTTACAACAGGTAAACAACCCTTTTAAGCTATATTGGGGTTGGGATCGGGTTTATATACCAATTCGTGCGAGCGAGCGAGAGAGAGAGATCTGCTACTTGTATTTGTATGTTATATTGTTATCATTCATGAGAGATGTTCCCACTTCCCAATTGTATGGTTGTAGCGTCTTGTGGGTAGTGTATGTAGCGTGCTGGAGAGCAAGATCCATTCTCATTTGAAAAATGTTATACCAAATGATGAGGGACGATCTCCCCTCTAATTACATCTTGACGTGTGGTTTTATGGCAATTTGCTATCAGACGTGGTAGGAACGCACTAAGATGGCAGTTTGGGCCTCTATCGGGCAGCTCGAGTTGTAATGCCCGAATAACCTGGAACAGATCCAGGAATGTACTCTCGACCTGGTCACCCAATGGTTTCCAGTTACCATCAACATGGTCTGCCCAACCTGAGTTACCACTGACTTGAGAGATATCTCTGACCTCAGTCTACCTCCGACCTGCAAGGCAATCTTCCCCTTGTCAAGTTAGCATGGGAGGATTGATTAGTACCTCCTTATGCGAACGTGGGGTCACCTGGTCACCTGGCGGTGCTAGAAACCCACTTCCCCACTTCGATGGGAAGTGGATACAAGATGCGTGCCCCGTGAAAGGCAGACATGCCACCATCAGCAGCCCAGGCATGCTCAATAAGGCTGGCTGCTTAGCTTGAGGGCACCTCATACTCTCTGATTCCTGGGGCCCTCTAACTTACTATGTTTGCAGCTCCCATTACCAGAGTCCACACTCGAATTCAAGGAATCATTGCCAGTGAAAATCACGACTTTTGATCTTCATCACCAAGGGCGTTGCACAGAGATTATAGGTCTGTATGTAATAGGGGACTGTTAGTCCTTGATATTAACTTATCCATCTAATGTAGATTTGCATTTGTATTATGTGCATGGGAAACATGTGATATTATTGCCCTGTAAACGCATAACTTATTATCCATAAAACGAGAGATCATCATTATTTTTCTCCTTTCTTTACTTCTTTATAATATTAATGGCTCTGTTCCCTTAGATTTGATTTCTATTTTCTGTGGAACCAAAACATTCTACATCTTTTCATTGTTCGCTTTACCAATATCTTTATATTCTAGCAAACCTGGCCATACTATTTGCTCATGGAGAAGTTGTAGTCATTAGTGTATGTATGTATATATATATGCAACGTGAAATTTGATGAAATATGAAATCTAACTGATTTCGATCGGCACTGGAGGCAATATGAAATCAACAGACTAAAAACCTAACTTATCCAATCCAATTTCGGTGGGGTTGGATAGAAGCTTTTAGAAATTGGTTTGGGGATCAATAAAAAATGATATGGAAATTCATGTTCAACCTAATATAGGTTAGGTTAGGGTTGAAACTTGAAATCAACAGTGAATTTTGATGAATACCAGCTGATTGGTTTACATTTTTACCACATGGTTGATTGGTTGTAAATGAAGTTCAAAATATCAATATCGTGCATTATATCAGACTTATGAGTAAACGTGGAATGGAATGTCACAAATCACAACACTTTAAATATGCATGGATAGTACAATTCGGACCTCAATGCCCATGAGAATAAAATAGAGAGAATAGGTTTAAAGTACAGTTCAGCCCAGGGTCAGAATTTATAGGTTTAAAGTATAGTTGGGGTGGGTGCCAACTTGGAATTGATGCCAATTTACAGGCGGACATTAATGTATAGTGTAGATTTTTGACATTTTGAATGTTAAATTCTGCAATGAAATTCAAAAATCTTCATTGGGCCTGTCTCGTAATTCTCCACATCCATAAAACTCAACCAATTTGTGTGGAATTTTTCATTCGATTCTTCTCTGGGCCAACTTCCCTACTCGTTAGATTCTTCTGTAGAAGTGCTTTTTTTATGTTTCGTTTATTTCTTCGAAACTAGTTCAGAAGGGTCAGCTCCCAGCACAATACGTATCGGCTGTCAAAATGGGCGATTCACGACATCCATGCTACAGATCAGATACCGTGCCCCCCACCCCCTATTACAATTGACCACAATCTGTCAGCCACGGATTTGGATTGGTGTACATATCAAGTATGAAGAACAAGTCACTCCGGATCTTATATCCACATGCACTATACCATTTTAAGATTTGAGACAGCCATATATATTTAATAAATGGCACATGATCGGAGATGTAATAGAAAGGAAGACTCTGGTCTATCTGCAAAGGGTAAAGTCTCAATCTGCCCAAGGTGGGCTCACAGAACATGAGAGAATCGATTAATCCTACTCACCGTAGTGCAATGCTAATTAATCCATAAAATGCCATCTTACAACTTTAATTATCGCCTACTGGTGACCAATCTGAAACCAATTTCATGATATCCTTTAACAGAAAACACATCATCATCCTCCATCTATAGATGTTGTAGGAAGATCACTTTAGCTTCCTCCACTGCAATTGCGCAGCATTTAAACACTATACTACTTTTTTGGAGTCGTGTAGAAATGCGCTCATTGCTAATCATAACCAGAAATAATCAAATAGACTAACATGAATTGCAGGAGACACAAGACTGGTGATCGTACGCATAAAAACTGAATGCATTATATAATGGAAGATCGGGAGCAGTCAGCAGCATGATAGAAACGTGGAGTACTGCAAATATCCATAACAGATGACAAGAAACTCAGCAAGCCAACTAGTAGCTAAATCTATGTCACAACGGGGGCAAATGCAAAATACAAGAATGAAGCAAAAGAGTGCCTGAAAGATTTGCATTTGAGGACATGAGAAGAAATTTACCCATTCATCATAAATTTGAAACAAAATTCAACTATCATCAAGTAAATTCAACATCTAAATGTCATGCTGAAATTGAAACTAAGACATCCTAAAATAATTCCAACTTCATAAAAGTAGATTAGAGAAGTAACAAAATTCAACACAAAATGACACAAAAAAAGACTCGGTGCCTTCAACAAGCCACATTTAAAAGAGAGAAGTGCCCTTCCCCTTCTTGTCCCCACCTATCTCAAAATGCTTGCACCTCTGCAGAAACCAATTAAGATAAACAGAAATTAGTGAACGAGTAAACACAAAAAGTGAAAAAGTTAATAACAAAATAGCGAAAGGCATGCCTTAATGGGGTGCTGTGAGACATGCTTGCAGCTCTGGCATTGCAGTCTCAGAACAATCTTCTTGGTAGTTTTTGCCTGGTTAGAGAACAAAGAACAAGTTTAGTGCAAAACATATCTCTCTATGTAACAACACATCAAAATCTAGAATTGATGGCATTACATAGATCAACCTGGCTAAACCACAGCATTCAAAAATGCGATAGTAACGATCTCCTGTGAGTGATTTCTTAAAGCAAATGCGCATGCTATTTTATATGTGTGGATGATTAAAAAGTCATGATCAGGAATACACAATTCTAATGAGTTTCTGTTCACAGAAAGGGGACCATCAATAGTCCTTATAGGCCCAGAGAAATCGTGTTTGATAGGCTCATTTTTAAACCAGTCTCCAATCTTCAGCACTAGAAGGGTATTCCAAAATATGTATTTCAATATAATATCAAATATTACTACTTTGGAGTGTATGCTCTGCAAACAAAAACCCGGATCAATGTCAACCTAAGAACATATGCCTAGACCAATACTCGCGTCATGGGTATTGGATAGCGTGGCTACTCAGACCAACTAAAATTGATCAGAATAACTATTTCTACGAAATTAACGATCAAAAAGAAACTATTTCTACGAGTTTCTAGTTGCTACTGGCAGAGCTCATATCTTGTCATTTGAAAATAAACACAAAGAAAACAAATTAGAAGTATGCCCAACAAGATTCACAGATGTTTCTAGCTGAAACGGATAAAAGACAGAAATATCTCATTTCTAGTGTTGATGGGTTGATTTTTTTCACCTTCTTATGGAAGACAGGCTTTGTTTGTCCACCATAACCTGACTGCTTACGATCATAACGACGCTTCCCCTGTGCCGACAAACTATCTTTCCCCTTCTTGTATTGCGTCACCTTGTGTAAAGTGTGCTTTTTGCACTCTTTGCTCTTGCAGTATGTCTTCTTAGTCTTTGGAACGTTCACCTGTGAAATTTTTCAAGAGAAATTTTATGCTCAAGCAAAGAACCTTTGAATTCAAGCAATAAATCAATACGAAAAGCCTTCTGGGGAGATATCTAATAGGCTATAAACCAAGAAATTAAACGACCAACATACATTAAAGAAAAGGTTGAACAAGGATGAGAGAAAACACACGAACAACTCACCATTGCTGCAGGGTTTTCAGAGGCTCAACTCACTCCTTTCCCTGTCGCCCCGCGAGAAATCTAGTGAGAGAAAATAAAGAAGCCCTAGCAGTTGAGCTTTTATATCAACACAAGGATTCATTAGGGTTTTGTAAAATGACAAAATTAGCCTTGAATAAAACCGACCGTCAAATAAGTTTCTATTACCACAATTAAAAATAAGAATGATTAATGGCTCTTCGTTGAACACCCTAATTCTCATTTTAATTTGGGATAATGACCAACCAACTTACACAGAATTTTATAGCTCCATAGTAAATGCATCTGACCTTGAATTGATGTCAAATTACTTGGCAGGATGTGGTTTATAGGGGGAGGGCTAAAAGTAGGGGGTTGAAATTCAGAATTCTGCATTGGGTGTATCATACTTCTTCATTTTAATTTTTAAATTTATCCCCATTAATAATACAAATTTATTATCTCATCTCATTTTCTCATTATTAAAAATGAAAACTATCAAAGGCTCTTAGTTGAACACCTTGTTTTTTATTTTCATATTTACCCCTATTAATAATACATATTTATTATCTCATCTAATTCTTTATTATTAAAAATGACAATGATCAATGGCTCTTTATTGAACACCTTGATTTTTATTTTCAAATTTACCCCTATTAATAATACAAAACAACCAAATTAACATATATCCCTTATTTAACAAATTAAAAAATAAGAAAATAATCAATTTTTTTAATAGAACACCCTAATGTTTATTTACAAATCTACCCTTAAAAATGAGAATGATCAATGGCTCTTCATTGAACACCGTGATTTTTATTTTCAAATTTACCCCTATTTATAATACAAAACAGCCAAACTAATATAAACCCCATTATTTAAAATTTTTAAAAGTAAGAAAATGATCATTTTTTTTGGTAGAACACCCTGGTTTTTATTTACAAATCTACCCCTATTAATAATACAACTTTGAATGGGTTTACAACCAATCTAGCAAATTCACAAGTTTCTATTTTACCCTTATATACAAAAGAGACAAGTGCCTTAAAAAGATGAATACGTGGACATCCAAATTCTCCATGTAATGGTTACTCTATTAAGGTAGTCATAATGTTGGTTTAATTTTTATCAAATATCAATGTGGCTGAACTATGGTTATCAAACCGGAAAAAAAAAAAAAAAAAACAAGAATCAGTCAAGTGACTGGTTTCATTTTACCCCAGGACCATTATTTCCCCCGAAACCATAGGTTTGGTCAGCAAACCACTGACCTAGGCAATCAAACTGTTCGAACCATTCAACGATTTGGCCGATTTTATTTTTTATTTTTTTGTCAGAACGAGTCATTCATTCTGTTCAAATGATCGAACCGTTCAACCCGAGAACTAGACCCTTGGTTGGTTCATTGTCCGAGTTGGTTTTAAAAACCTTGGACTGAACAACCCTCACATTACTCTGGATTGTTTTCATGATATTAAATGGAATCAAATCATCATGATAAGTTCAAAATTTCTCCTTCGATAATAAACTTAATTGATAAGTTGAATGGATGTATCTCCCCGTTTTTAATAAAATGTGATCATATTTATAAAAATCCCCAAAATATGAACCTAAATAGGGGTGTAGTACGTTATAGGATTTGAATGCTATTTCTTCTTATTTGGATTCACAATCAATTTAGAATAAAAAATAAGAGTTCACTCAACAAAGTAATTAGTTTATTATTTTTTATTTTGTCTAAAATCTAAATTTTGATTTAACTTGTACTCTCTTTTGGTTTCTCTTTTATGCTTTTTTTTTTGTTAATTTGTTTTGGGTGTATAGAAGCTTTTATGAAGAGAAAGGTGATTATACAACCTTATAACTTGCAACTGAGATAGTGGTTTGACTCTTCACTTTTAAACAGCTTTGGGAAGACTACTATTTCTATTTTGGCATGTTTGTTTTGGTCCAGTTTTATAAGGAATGCTTTCAGATGGAAGGAACACCACCATTGAATTTATAGATTAAACAAGAAAACAAGAAGAGGAGGTTTTTTTTTTTGGTAATGAATAGGAGTTTAAATTAGATAATGATCAAAAATATTTGAACTTACATTTTCCGTTTGTATTATTTTTTCATGCTCAAGTGTTAGGTGGTGGTGTAGAGTCATTTTCGTTATGTTCACTTGCTAGCTTAGTAGCTTTGGTTGATTACTGTTCAAATAATGATTATAATGCTAAAGTTGGATTATAAGTTCATAGTGAATTTAGTCAATATTATCGTTGTCGGGTTGTTTTTGTGTATTATTTTTTTTGGTACTTGAAAATAAATTATTTTGTTTAAATCATTTAAATTCAAATATGTTATTTTGACTAGCTATGGGTGTTCATTATATGGTGTAAATCACAAAACCGAAACCGAAACAAACCAAGTTTGCGGTTTGGTTTGGTTTTGTTTATACCTATAAATGGTTTGGTTAGGTTTGAGAATTTTCTAAATTATGATTTACGGTTTTGGTTTGATTTATTTAACTTTATAAACTGAACCAAACTGTAAATTGTAAACCGGAATTGTATATAATATGAATATATGATATATAAATATTATATATACTATATCTAAATGGAATACATGAAATTATAAATATATAATGTATGCTTTATTTTATAATAAAATAATAAATAAAAGTTTTTAAGTTTTAATTTTTAGGGGAGCTATTTGGGCTTTCTAATTGGGTTAAGCCCAAAAGAACATAGAATGGTCCAAAGTCCCCAAACCATATTAGAAATGCACCAAACTGTAATAATATGGTTTGGTTTGGTTTCCATACCAAAACGGTTTGGTTCGATTTAGAAAATTCTCAAACTGTAGTTTATCGGTTTGGTATGAGATTTTTATCTAAATCGCACTAAATTGGACTGTGGACACCCTAATTTTGCCAACTGAAACACATGTGTGCAACACGATACTTGCAGCGTTGTAGCAAACGATGAACCCTTCATCATCAAGCGGTGACCCTGAAGTAGGGATGGTCGTTTCAGCCCGGTCCGAAAGTTTTGGGCTTAGGCCTAGGTTCGTGCTGTCAGGTGCCACCTAGGTTGTATATATCTATCCCATATATAAAAGCAGTGTTTTCAAACCGATCACCCGATCGGTTCCATTTTATCCCAAAACTACTTTTTGGCCAAAAATCGTTGACTTGGTCAGTGAACCATTGACCCATGCAGTTGAACCGTCAACCCAAGCAACGCTTTTTGGCCTTTTGGTTTTTTTTTGTGTTATAGCAGACTATTCCTTTGGAATAGACGGTCACACCATTCGACACGAGAATCGATCCCTATACTGGCCCCATGTTTAGTCCAATTTTAAAAACATTGTATAAAAGTGTGGATGAAGTGTAAAACCTTTTTTGGACTAAAATTATCCATTGTTTCTTTGTTTAAGAAAGAGTATAAAAGTCATTTTGTCATTGCTTTAATGGTCATATTTGTGTATTTATTCAATCTATAATTTTAAGGGTTGAAAATGTAACTTCAATTATTACTTTCCACCTCATTTAATCCCCTCTCATTATGTCTTATACTTAAGGTTTATTTTATCTTATTAAATCATATATTTTTAAGTTATTTTTACTAATAAATTCAACTAATTAGATCTATGTAAAGTATTTTAACAATATAAACTCATATTTTAAAATCGACTCAAAAACAAAACCATATTTTATCCAAGTGGTGGCTAAGAAATCCAACCATATAAATCAAATTGGTCAACCTATGAAGTCATAGTTAGATAGTAAAAATTTTAAAATATAAATAGATATAGAAAATTACATAAAAATGTAGAAAAAATTAGACACATCATGATATTTTTATTAATCAAGTCAAAGAAAAAAAAGTGTAGTAAACAATAATTAATTTATTGACAATGAAAGTGAAAACATAATTTAGAACTCACCAAAAATGAAATATAAAAATTAATAATAAATAGTTTCACTTTTGGGTTAAAAGTGTTAAACTTTAATATCATAAATAAATAATAAAAATTAATAAAATATAATCATACAAACATGAAAAAATACATAACTTTTGCAAAATTAAATATAAACATACAACAGTAAGTGTGACATAACTTTTGCAAAATAAGCATTCTGTTTCCAACTGTTTGGTTGGGTGAAATCGGAATCATATTCCCATTCATACTAGAATGGCAATGGGGAATTGCCATTCCCTACCCCTCCCTTGGGAATGAAATCCCATTCTTATTGATTATAATTCCCATTCCCATTCATGTATGAACCAAACAGACTATGGGAATAGACTATTATGATTCCGACCATGAACCAAATGGACCCTAACAAATATCATCAAAACATTGTTTGAATCACCACTCTACCCATAAGTTCCCCTCTTGTTGTTGTGCAGGTTTCCTCTTGCTGTTCTGCCTGGCAAACCATCTTTCATGCCACGTTTCTTGTTTTTCATTCACACCAATGCTTCTCTTATTTTTCAAATTTTCTTCCCCTATGGAAACATCAATTGCAAAATCCTCATTTACATTAGAATTGTGTAGGTGTTTAGTTTTTACAGTCTTAACAAACAAGACAAATTAAAATCCATGGTTAAAAGAAGATGGTGAGTAATGAGCCCTAAATAATTGTTCATATAAAGAAGATCTATTGTTCTTTTTTTTGGTAGTATTTGTTGCATTGATTGTCCATATAAAGTATAGCCATGTATTCCAACTATTCAATTAGTTAATCTTATCCTTTTATCAATCAATAGATTTCCAAATGGGCCCATCTAGTGTTGGCTTTAACTTTCACACACTAAAAGGTGTTTTTGATTATTTCTCTTGCCTGTGGTTTTTTTCATTGATAGATTAATATGAAAATAAATAATTTGATGACCATACTGGAATAAGATAGTAGAAATAAGTCATGAATCTGATTTTTTTTAGATTGTGAATGTAATAGAACATGGAGCAAAGTACTTGCGCTATCTTCTACTTCCTCTTCACTTTATGTTTGTTCATCTCTACTTTGTTTGATATTTTTTTTTCTTAAGTTTCCTTTGAATGTTGTTGTTCCACTACTTTCAACTCCAAATATAATAATAGGTTACT